CACCTGGTAGAACTACAAATGTATGTATGCACACGTTTGACGTAAAGGAAGTTTTACTGCAATGAGCTATTTTTTGTAATGCTTAATTAAAGAAAATCAGAATGCTTTCAATATAATTAATATTAAATATATTGCTCCGAATTCGACTTAAAAATGGTGGCATTACTGTATTAACTTCGAAAGTCCGAATCGCCCTAGGTGGCCACCTCTAGAGAAACCTTATTTTGTTTCCAGACTCATGTGATATCACACTGCTACAAGTGTATTTCAAAATTTCGCCCTGCCCCCTTCCGAACCCAGAAAAGACGAAAATCTGTGGCAGCCACAATTTTAAAGATACGATAAAACTAAAAACGCAGTATCGTAGATAATGCCCATATCTACCAGATTGCTGAATCTGAATCAGATCGGATCATAATTATAGCCAGAATGAAGAAATTAATTTTCTTTTGGTTCCCCCGCCTACTTCAGCAAAAGACCCGCTACTCATTCTCTTTTTCGCTCGCACATTCTGCATCGTATCAAATGTGGCCGAGCATCAAGAAATGAGCAATGACACCAAAAAATTCGGATTGAAATCGATGATAAGGTCGATTAGCATAACCTCTCATGGTAAGGAAGAAAAAGTGTAAAAGGAGTTTCAATATGATGTCGTTGTAGTTGGAGCAGGATGAATTTTAAATAGCATGAGGTAGTCACGTCAGAGACGCTAGATTGGCGTTGTCAATGATTCCCCAATCAATAAGTGTTGTTGTGAGCACTACTGTATCAGTTGGATCGTATGACATTGGAGTAGAATTACTTCAATTTCGATTATTACTCTGTTAATTCCTAAAATGTCAATGATGATGTTTCTGTCGCTGAGACCAACAGCCGTTTTGCTGATCTTAACGCAGATTTTCATTGGCTGCCAAACGATGGTGCTCGGGGTGGAACGAATTTGAATTCCCAAATTGGTCCACACTAGTCTACGCCTCCATTCAGAAATGGGCGTGCTTGTGTGACTCTTTCTGCCGGTAGATTGCCCCTGGTGCATCAGCTGTGTGTTATGCTTCTAGCTATCGTCTTGTCGTAGATGATCAAATATTGTTGTCCTTCAATTTGCCTTAATGTTTGCGCACCGCAATGCAGATTTTCCTCATGGAGTTATCGCATAATCATTTTGACTTTTGGGTCGTTGTACGTTAGCAGGACTGGATGTTTTTAATTGTACGGAATTAGAGCTTCTTCTAGTCTTCCGCCAACATAGCGATATTATCGAACTGTTTTTATATACTGTCTTATAGCGTCTTAACTGTTTTAAGTCTGCTGTGAACTCGACTTTTTGAGGTTAGCGAGCGCGAGCACGATTTAGTTCTCCTGCGCAAAGTGTCGTTTTAGGCGCTGTATTAGTTTTGTAGCAGAAGCAAAATATTTACGCTATAATACGTTGTAGTTTGTTGAACTCTCTTTTCCAAGAGAGCTAGATGCGATTTGTAAGCTGAAATGCTTAGCCTTTCTCTGGAGATTGCTGGGCTCAATGATGGGTGTTTGTCCGTTTATGTCCAGGTCCGCGCAAGAATGCGCTGTTGGCTGATGAAAAATGACGCCATTGTAATTGGTTAGTCAATGCCTGAATCTTGGTGATCCAATTTGCCACGAATGTAGCTGGTCGTTGTTGGAGCATCATCTGCGTAGTTATCTTATTAAGCACTGTAACCAAAGCCAAAATGAGCCAAGCCCAGCAACAACAACAAGACGAGCGTCCGCACTCGCAAGCAAAAAACAGCGCGTACTTCTCTATACGCTCGGCAAAGGCAGCAGTACCAACAAAAACTGCATCACTGAAAGTTAACGAGGAGAGAGCACGCTCTCTCTCCCCTGCATTGCAAAGTGGGTCATGGAGTGCTCAGTGCCCATCCCCCGACTGCCTAACCAACGATTTGCTAATATCGACAACAACTAGTACAATGCCCTCTCTCAAAACTGTGTCTTCGACCACAACAACGACAACAACCACAAAACTGCAATTGCTCAGCGCCCGATACTGTCGACCCACTACGACCTCTCCCAACCAATAAGTTCGAAAAATGCTAACGGAGCATTAATTCAGACTGGGCTGTGCAAATCGAAAGAAAATTGAGCCCACAAACTGCGATGAACAACAATGCAGCTAAAATAATTAAAATAACCGAGAACACTGTGCCACATAAGGCACTAGCAAACAATAGATTTGAAATACTAAGTGTCCCACATGAAGATGAAATCGCCCAAACACCCAAGGCCAAAAAATTAAGACCGCTACCCATTTATGTTCGACAGGCAAGTTGTGCTGAACTGGCTAAAAAAATAACTGATCAAGTCACGTCCATAAAAAGGGGTAACATAAATGAAACAAAAATACAAGTCAATGACCTACAAAACTATCGATCAGTTGCGAAATACCTCGAAAATGAAAATATGAATTACTACACCTACCGACTTAAAAGTAGCAAAGGACTACAAGTGGTTATCAAAGGAATCGAACCAACAGTCCCAAACAATGAGATATGGGATGGACTTAACCATAAAGGCTTCGAAGTCAAAACGGCTATGAACATAATAAATAGAAATAATATTCCCCAACCAATATTAAAGGGAGAACTGACACCTGACAGTATGCATATAAGAAAAAATAAAGTTCACCCAATCTACAAGCTTCAATATCTACTGCGCCGTAGGATCACCGTTGAGGAACCACACAAACGAAATGGACCCGTCCAATGCACAAATTGCCAGGAATATGGACACACGAAAAGTTATTGCACTCTACGGGCAGTCTGCGTTGCCTGTGGTGATGTTCATCTCACTGAGGTCTGCCCCGTAAATAAGGAGGACCCATCTGCCAAAAAATGTAGCAACTGTGTGGAAAACCATACTACCAACTGTAGAGGTTGTCCTGTCTATAAAGAATTGAAAAATCGCCTAAACCAACAAAGAACTGCAGCTCAAAGCCCGTTCATCCGACAAAACTTACCATATATACCATTAACTACGACTCCAGGAGTTTCTTTTGCTCAGGCGTTAAGTTACAACAACAAGTCGTACGCCTAAGTCTCTAAGCCGACACATCAACCAACCACAGCAGGAATAATGCAGCATCATGCATCAAATCAGATCCCAGAAATCTCTGCCCAACATACCCCTGCAAATCCATTCCAATTGCCTAGTGGAATTGAGTCAATGCTGGTAACTATAACAAACACAATGGTAGAAATACAACAAACGATGCAGGAGCTTATGCGCAACCAAAATCTACTCCTGGAGCTCCTAATCAAACAGAAATCTGTTTAAATGGCTTGCCTAAATATATGTTTCTGGAATGCAATTGGCATTTCGCAACAGAAATGCGAGCTCTTACAGTTCCTCGCTCAACACGACATTGACGCCATGCTTATATCAGAGACTCACCTAACAAATATACAGGGGTGCCACAGAAATCACTAGTGAAATGGAAAACCGCGCAGAGGATTTCCGCTTCAAAATTTCCGCCGTGCCACAGAATTCCGAGCGATCTCATTTTTCTTAGCATTGTCACAAAACCAAATTCGAACTAAGGCTAGGGTAGACAGACACCTTTCAAGATTCAATTCATTTTTATTTTGCAGTTTTATCTATTTTATCATATCAAATTTTATTTATTTATTTTTTTCTTTTATAACATAAAATAATTGGTTTTTCAAAGCTCTACTTTTATAATTTCAAAGCAAAAAAACATCCCATATCGTGCGAGTCAAACAAAACAATGTACTCGGCAACTCTAGCAGTTGTCTGGCAACTCTCCGTGCATAGCAGCAATCAATTGTTCAAAAAAACAGATATCTGAATTTTACGGTAATCTTAATTAAATGCTTTTACCGAGTCGGTTGGCCATCGAATAACTACGGAAGCTACATATTAGAATATAAACCTTGCAGCGCAGGCTTCACAGATGCGAATCGGACTAGTTGTCGCGTTCAGACGATACGTATGTGGTTTTTGTGATTGTCTTCTCAAACTACTGCTAATTTAGTTCATTACAATTACCAGTTTTTGGTATAATGATCGCTATGCTTCTATTTGTGCTGCCATGTGTCTGCACTTAGCCGAACAGGGGTTTCTGACATAAATGCAATGGCAATAATGTGTAGAAATGGTTTGTTAGTTCTGTTTTGACATTTGGGACGGCACTTCGGCCGGGGTATGCTCGCCGCGCCGGGGTTCACAGAAATTTATTTAATCTCTGGATGTGGTTAGTCTCTGAAAGAAAAGGTCTCCTGGTTCAAGAAGTAAGGTGGCAAAAGTAGGTGGTTATTTTTATTGACTTAAGGGTACAGAATTGAATGTGGTTCTCCGGAGGATCACTGGCTCGGCCTCGAGGTCTTCCCTCAGAGTCGTCAGGGCCGCACGTGGCTACTCGAAGCGTGCAGGTCGTACCTGGATTGGATACGGTCGCTGGTGAAGATCGGTCGTGGAGGATAATGTGCTCCAGGGGGGCCACGGGAGTTATGCGGAGGACGATACGCTCCGAGCGCGATGTGGTGCGGAGGATAATGCGCTCCGAGGAGAAATGCATTGCGGAGGATAATGCGCTCCGAGTAGAAGTGATCGTTGCGAAGGCTAATGCGCTCCAAGGAGATATGCGTTGCGGAGGATTATGCGCTCCGAGAGAAAAGGCGTTGCAGAGGATAACGCGCTCTGAACAGGGTGGGAGGACGGAGGAAAATGAGCTCCGAGTAGGAATTGGGAAGACGGAGGAAAATGCACTCCGACAAGGAATCAGAAGAAAACAGCACAGATTAACGTGTAGAGGAATCGTACGCTCTAACACGATGATCAATGCATTCCAAAGAAATGGACGGTATATAGCAGGGAGAGTTGTGTTCTAGAGGAATCGTGCGCTCTAAGAACCACAGCAAATACCAAAAGCCTTGGGGAGCGAATCAACCCTTGGCAGCCCAAGAATGGAATGACTCTGGCAAGGCTGCTTGTATTGCCAAAAGTCAGCTGTTTGCTCCCTTCTTTGGCACTAGCGCGTTGTCACGATCAGCTGCTACTGTGGCCGTTTGGTTCTGAAGGCTGGGCACACTGTTGGCGCGTGGATTTGAATGTTGGAGTGTGGCCGTTTGTTAGGATCGCTGGTCCCATTTGTGGCGCGTAGATTTAAAAGTCGGGGAATCTGTTTTTTTTTTATGTTTAATTAACCAAATCTTCATTGATGCTCTCTTATGTATTATCTAGGTAAATGTAATGTATGTAATGGAATAACTGGAATAACTTAAACCAGACGCCGAGTCGTACGTCGCCAGACCTGCCGATTTTAACCCAGCATGCCCTGTCCGGTGTCCCTTCGCTCCATAGCTTGAACCTTCGTTGGGTGTGCTCCTTGCGACCGTCTATCACTTGTACCTTGCGTTGTTTCGCGTTGGTCTTCTCCATCAGCTGCTTAAACTTCCGTGCGTCCATGATTCTGCAAAGAAAGAGAGGTGTCGTTATTGTGACTGTTTCTTGCTCTTCTTTGCTTGCGGGTTTTAGGTGTGATTTGTGCGCTCGACTTTTTTTGTTAGTAGAGGTATCTTTGACTGTTACTATGACTGGGGACAAGAGTTCGAGAACCTTACAAGAACCGTTGTATTTTGGTTAGAGTTTTGCTGTTATTTTGTCGATTTTCTTAGAGAGTGGGTGAGTTCTGACCCATACTATGTCCCCTATCTTTGGCCTCCAGTCTCTTCGTTTTAAGTTGTAATGTCTTGTCTGTTTTGCTGCAGCTTCCTCCATGTTCTGCCTTGCTAATGCTTCCGCGCTGTGTCGTTCTTCTGCTCTTTCTTGTGTTGTTAGTTCGGTAAGCCCTGATCCTAGTGTTACTTCGTCAAATAGATTTCCTGGCAGTCGTAGCTCCCGTCCGAAAAATAAATATGCTGGTGTAAATCCTGTTGGTTCCGATCGACTGCTGTTGATCGCGAGTGTTAACTCCGGTAAGTGCTCGTCCCACTTATTATGTCTTCTCCCTGTGCTATCATAGTTTTCAACGTTCGGTTTGCTCGTTCGGTCGGATTTTCCTGTGGCGTGTATGGTGCCGTGAATTGCTGCGTTAAATTCCCATAACTGCATTACCTGTTTGGTTTTCCTGATTGTGAACTGCACGCCGTTGTCTGAAATCAGCTGTTTTGGCGTTCCTCCTCGTGCTAATATTTTTTCTCGGAACGCTCTTATGAGTATATCGGCAGTCGCTTTCCTCGCGGTTCTACCCACTTCGAAAATTTATCGATGAATATGATGAGTACTGTGTTTACGTGCGATGTTCTCGGTAGGGGTCCTACGAAATCGACACATATTGTTTCACACGGAGCATCGGCGATTTTTGTGAGCATCTTTCCCGCCGCTGCTTGTTGCGAAATTTTGAATTTTTGGCTGCTTTCACATGCGTGGATGAATTTTGTTACATCTCTTCTTATCCCTGGCCAAAAATATTGTTGTCGGATCCTTACTTTTGTGCGTCGTATCCCTAGGTGGCTTGCTGTTGGATTCGTATGATTTTCCGTTAGTTCGCTCTGCCTTTCCTGTTTTGGTACACACAGCTTCCATGGTTGGTCGTCTTCATCTGTTTGGCTTGGTATGTGCCGGTATAATCGGTCGTGCTTTATACTGTAGTCTTCTGATAGTTTTGGGTTTGTTTGCATTGTTTGCTCATCAAGCGCATTCTATTAGTTCTGTGATTCTCACTTCTTCGCGTGGTAAGCGGGATAATCCGTCCGCCACTGCATTTAGCTTCCCCTTTCGATAACGTATTTCGAATGTGAATGGTTGTTATCCCATGCCAATCTTGCTACTCGGCCGGATGGACTTTCGATGGAATTTAACCATTTCAGGGCTAAGTGGTCTGTTATTACTACGAACGTAACCTTCGAGGTACATCCTCATTTTGTGGATTCCCCAGTAGATGGCGAGGCACTCCTTTTCCGTGGCAGAGTATTTCGTTTCTTCCCTTTTCAGCTTGTGGCTTGCGTAGCTTATTACGTGTTCTCCGTCTGCATCTTCCTGAGTCAACACAGCTCCTAATCCGCAGTCGCTTGCGTCTGCTTGTAAAATGAACGTTTTCCTGAAATCTGGGCAGGCCAGGATGGGTGTCTCCGTTAGACAATGTTTAAGATCGCTAAACGCGCTGTCTTGGGCTTCTCCCCATGTGAATTTCTGCCCTTTTTTCAGTAGGTCTTGCAGTATGTTCGCCCTTTCGGTGAAGGTTGGTACGAACCTTCGGTACCATGACGCTAGCCCTAGGAAACTGTGTAGTTGCTTTAGTGTCGTTGGCGCAACTAGTTCCTTGATGGCTGCTACTTTGTCCGGGTCTGTGTGTATGCCTTCCTCGCTCACCATGTGTCCCAGGTATTTCAACTTCTGTTGGAAGAAGTGGCATTTTGCTGCGTTGATGCGTAGGTTTGCTTTCCTTAAGCGGTCCAATACTTCCTGGATTTTCTGCATGTGCTCTGCTTTTGTTCACCCAATTACGTTATATCGTCTAGGTATGCGAAGGCGAATGGTTCCACGTCTTTGGAAGCCTCGCCCGGGGGCTTTGAAGGCTGTGTACTGTCGGCTCTGCCTCTCCATCGGAATTAGCCAGTAGCCTGATTTTAGGTCCAGCGTGCTAATGAATCTCGCCTCTCTGAGCTGGTTCAATATAAAGTCCATCCGGGGTACAGGGTATGCGTCCTTCTCGGTTTTTTCATTTAGTAGTCAGTAGTCGACGCAAAGTCTCCAATCCCCAGACTTCTTCTTTACCAAAACTATCGGTGAGCTGTATGGGCTCCGTGACGGTTCAATCAGGTTCTGGCGTTTCAGCTCGTTTATCTCTTTGTTGATGATTTTCATTTGCGCTGGATTCCTTGGATATTCCCCTGCTTGATTGGTCTTTCGTCTTTTAGGAATATTCTATGAGATGTTTTGTTGCTTATTCCTCTAAGGCTGTCGAATTTCTGGACTTTTGTCATTATCCATTGTTCGATTTCTCTTCCCGTTGGTTCTGGTTGTGAGTTCCTTGCCCTCTCTTCGGGTCTTTGTTTTGTTTCCCGTCCATTGATCACCACTGTACTGGTTCCGCATGTAATGACTGTTCCTGCGTCTCTTAAGAAGTCCATTCCGAGTAGTGGAGTGTCTGGTAGCCCATCCATTATTAGAAATGATAATGTCGTTTCCTGGCCCCCCAGCTCTACCTCGGTTAGGAACTTCCAAGTGGTTTTCTGTGTGCTTCCGTCTGCGAGTCTGATTGGTCTCTCTTCTTTTTCTTCCTTCCCGTACTTTTGCAGCATTCTTACCATGTTTTCGTTCAAGATGCTTCTTGTGGCTCCCGTGTCTATCCCGTGTTCCGCTTTGCGTGTTTTGGGCTCCGGGTGCTTCGCGAGATTGTTCCGGGCCCTGTGCGTTTTCCTGTGGTTTCCTGCAGCAGTCTATCGTCCGTATACTTTCTCTGTTGCAGGTCCAACAGTACAATACTGGTTCCCTGGTGCATCCTCTGGCTTCGTGACCTATTTGTCCACATCGGTGGCATTTTGATTGTCTCCATTGTGGTCGTTGCCAGGGTGTCTGGTTATACTGCTGAGTATTTTTTGTTGTTTTGACAGGCCTGCCTCCCTTTCAAGTTTCTCAAATTCTTCTGCTGTGATAATCAATTCCGCTGGCGTTTGGAATTCTCTCCTTTTCACGTAGAGATTTATCGGCAGCCTACAATTTCGGTATACCATGTCCAGTTTCTCGTTCTCGGTGTATGTCCCGAATCTCATTAACTTTCGCAGGTCCTGTACGAATTCTCGTATGGTCTCTGTTTCTGCTTGTTTTCGTTCCGATACGAGTTTTACTAGTTCTTCATGATATTGGGGTGACATGAAGTTTTCTTTCAACTGGCTTTTGACGTCCTCCTATGTCATGATGGGCCCGGTTTTTGTGTGCCACCAGTCCAATGCACTTTTTTCAAGTATTACTAGCATTGCGAATACCATGTGATCCGCTTCAATCTCTTATGTTTCTGCTAATTCCTCCATTCGGCTGAGGAATTCTAGCAGCTCTCCATTCCCTGTGAATGTGAGGTCCCATTTTCCGTATCTTGTCGATTATGGCTACTGCCTCTGGTGATCCTTTTCGAATCTGCTTCGGAAATAGTATTTTTTTCTTCGCCGTTTTTGGCTTTCCTTTCCTCCATCGTTGGTTTGGTTTGTGGTCTTGGTGATTGGCTTGGGCTCCTGCCTTTCGTCGGCGGGTCCTCCATAGTTGGCTTGGTTTGTATTGTATTATCTTCCAGAGATAGGGATTTTAAAGAAAAGACATCCGTCATTTCTGATAATTTTATTGAATGATCTTTTGTATGTTTCTTAAATTCTACTTGGCTGAGGGCCAGCGTAGCTGCGCCGCCAGCAACGCCGGCAGCGGAGCGGCCGCATTTATTTATTTCATATATATACATGTGTATATGTGCATATGCCCAGCGCTGCTGACAGCGAGGGCGCGAGGGAATATGTAAATGTATGTGTATGCATGTGCCGTCAAGTCATGGGAATATGTTGACGCTGCACTTATGTCGCTCGAGGCATTCTTGGGCGATCGTAATACGATAGCTCAAGTTATGCCTGGGACTTTTAATTACATAAACACTGCAACAGAGTGTTACAGTGTGTTCCCCTTAAGTACACTTGGTACAGTGGGTATTGCCTATGTATGCATACTACAGTATTGTTCTTCTGGGTGACGGTTTTGGACTCCTTCCTCTCGTCTGGGTTGACCCGAGCTGTTCCAGCCTCTCCCAGGTTTCCTTGCTTAGATCCTTCCTTTCCTTGTATTGTAGTAGTTGTTTCCTCAAACCTTCCACCCCTTCAGTCTTATCTAGTCCAAATTCCTCGCAGTAACTGATCAATTCTGCTTTCATTGCCTGATTGATTCATACTTTTTCCATCCTGACCATATATGAGATCCCAATTCTATGCTACCACAGCCTGCTCGGACGCCACTGCAACGGCACTTCGGCCGGGGTATGCTCGTCGCGCCGGGCCTCACAGAAATTTATTTGATCTCTGGATGTGGTAGCTGAAAGAAAAGGTCTCCTGGTTCAAGAATAAGGTGTAACAAGTAAGGTTATTTTTATTGACTTAAGGGTACATAGTTGAATGTGGTTCTCCGGAGGATCACTGGCTCGGCCTCGAGGTCTTCCCTCAGGGATACGGTCGCTGGTGAAGATCGGTCGTGGAGGATAATGAGCTCCAGGGGGGCCACGGGGGTTGTGCGGAGGATGATACGCTTCGAGCGAGATGTGGTGCGGAGGATAATGCGCTCCGAGGAGAAATGCGTTGCGGAGGATATTGCGCTCCGAGAGAGAAATGCGTTGCGGAGGATAACGCGCTCCGGGGAGAAGTGATCGTTGCGGAGGATAATGCACTCCGATAGAGAAAGACGTTGCGGAGGAAAATGCGCTCCGAGGAGAAGTGATCG